GTGGATTTTACATTACTTAAAATTTTCTAGTAATCAAAGTCATGGCATCAGAATCCTCCCGCATTCACTGTTCTTTACAGAAAGTGGAAGAGGGTTCTTCTTTTTTCGCTTTCTTTGTAGCTAATCGTGTAGCCTTCCGAAGTATAGCATAAACGGACCAAAGAGAAGAATTCTGTGCAGCAGTCATTTTTTTCCAAATAAACTCATTTGAAGGTTTCGGCTTCATGATGTTTTTTGTGACGGTGACAGTACTAACGGGTGCAATTTTCAACGATGCTATGGATTGGGGCAAGGCTCTGGTTGCGTTTGGCGCTATCCTCTGCCCAATCCTCTCTATAACATCAACCTATGGTATTATCTCGTTGTTTGGAATCCGAACTAACTCCTTCATGCTTGTCATGCCATTCCTTATCACCGGCATCGGTTGGTGCAATTTTTTGTTTCTTCAGAAAGCTGTGCATTTTAAAAAAAAAAAAAAACTTTTTTGTGCAAAAAATTTTTTGCGTAGGCCTTGGATTTTGGAAAAGAGCTTTGTCGAAGCGTTAGCGGATATAGCATAGTGGCAAGTAGCATTGTTCTCATGCAAAAGATTGGAAATTCAACTCCAGTGAGATAATCCCAGTCTCTCACGATTCGTTCATTCATTTTGATGGTAAATGTTGTATGTCAGATAGTCAAAACTTGCTTCTAAGTAATCCCGGAAGGAGAGGCCGCTGAAAAAATTGCCGCTTAGTGGTTGCTACTGAAACCTGCTGGCATTTGAACTATTTCCGAGTGCCTTCATGAATACGCAGTTTGATTTTCGCCTTTTCGTGAAAGCAAACCGGGAAGTTCTAGCTTTTTCCAGTGAGTTTTAAAAGTTGCAGCAGCTCGTGGCAGAATTCGTTTTCTGTGCAAGCCTTCAGCATTATTTCAACCCAGGCTTGGAATGCACCAGGCAGGCCGGTGCGATCATGCGTTCTTGCACTTTTCGGACCGTAGCAAAATTGCACGGGATCACAGTAGCTAGCCCTGTGACATACTTGCCCTCGAAGTTCGGGAAGTTAATTGTGCAGCTATGTGGTATGTCAGTTATAGATTTCGACTTCAGTGACCGGACAAATGGAAGGTTGCTGGTCCGCCAAAAAGACTGCACTAGAAGAGTTAAATTTGAAATCTTTAGTCGCACATAAGCAGGGGACATTCCCTTAAAATTAAAGCCGTCCAAACTTTTTCGTTCCCGAGTCAGCAGTTTTCTCATCAAAATTTTCACATGTCCGTACGTGAGTATCAAACAGTTCTAGGGAGCTGAATCTGAAATCTTTTGGTCGTAAATGAATGAGGAGCAGTACCCTAAATTTCAGCTTTCTAGCTTTCCTCGTTTCCGAGTTAGCAATTTTCCCGCCAGAACTTCCATGAGTCCGTACGTGGATCCCGGCCTCTCCTAAACAGCCGATTTTGTCTTACATGAGTAGGGGACATTTCACTAAAGTTTCAGCTTTCTGGGTTTTCTCGTTTCCGAGATAGTGATTTTCCCGCCAAAATTTCCACGTGCTCGTACACGAGTCCGGGACAGTTCTGGGCAGCTGGATTTGAAATCTTTTTGTCATAGGCGAGTAGGGAACATTCCTCTAAGATTTCAGCTTTCTACTTTTCTCTTTCAGCTTCAAAGCTTGCGTAGTTGGCGAGCTGAAATATCCGAACACACACACACTGACAAGGTCGTTGCAATATGCGTTTTTGCTGCCTGCTGCAGCGCCCTAGCGTTGCACGTCAAAAACACATAAAAACTTGTACTAGTGCATAACTGTTAAGTGAACGAGCGAGTATTTTCAGGAGTAGATGATGCGTTCCTTATGATTCATTCCTGGCAGCATTTGGCCCTTCATGCAAGTAGTGTCAGCGTTCGTCTCGGTCTGGTGTTCGAGGAAGTTGGGCCTTCCATGACAATCACCTCACTAACTAATTTCATTTCATTTGGCATCGGTGCTCTAACCCCTACTCCCGGTAAGTAGAAACAAATAAATTATGGAAACAAATACGGAATCAGATATTTATTTAGCAAATAAATTATGAAAATGAAAAGTTTAACCATGAATACTAAAAAAAAATCTGCCTTTCAATGCAAAATATACCTTTATTTTCCTCTCTGCGCCCCAGAGGCAGCTTCCATCTTCTCTTGCAGTGATTCTTAGCCAGCTTTTCGCGAGTTTTTCGCGACACTCGTCAGCGCAACACTTTCGGTGCGATTTTATTTTACAATATAAAATACTGAGTTAAATTATAACAATAAAAATGCGTTGCTGAGTTAAAAGGCTGGCCTGGAAAAGAAAAGTGGAAATAAGTCATGTTTCATCCTTGACATTGTGTTGCGAGAAAGGGAGATCCAAGAAGGAATTTTTGGGCCGCAGAATTAGAGATAAATACACGACAACGGATACGAGGAGTTGTGATGCGATGAAATAAACAGTGTGAAAAAAAGGAAATTACTGGGACAGACAAAATTAAACTATTTCCTTCCTTGCAAGTTGCAGAACGAAGCTGATGGGGACCCCAGAAGACTGGAATATCGGTAAAAAGATGGCTTGGTTAACCAAAGAAATAATGGAAAAATGCAGAGCTGTTGCCCCACCTCACAAAGCCGAGGTTGTAAGTGAAGATGAACTTCTAATTACAACTCAACTTATGTCAGCTTTTCCAAAAGTTCTTCATCTTTAGGAAAGCCCTGCTCTAATATTAGGTCGGAATCACTTGTTTTTTCGAGTAGACTTAGTACATTAATATCAAACCCGCTGTACCCAATATCCTGGTCATTTCGATAATTTCGGAATTCCGTTTAGTCAAAACGGAACGAAAAAAGAAAGGGAAGAATGAGCAAAAAAACAGTGAGGGAGAATAGGAGGAGGAAAAACTCTCAAAACAAGTTCAAAAAATCACCATGCGACTGACCAGCTTTACTTATGAAATATTCAAGAAATACGATTATTCTGCATGACGACAGCGATCGCAATGGGTTTGGATTACCTATTTGAGCTAATATTGTTCGGACCTGTACTGGCACTTGCTGCCCACTGCGAAAAACGAGACTGGAAGCGGTTGCCGAGTTCGAATCCACTGAAAACCCCACTGCACGGGTGGCGATTGCAGGTTTGTTGTTTACTGTCATATTCTCTTTTCGCCCGTAATAAAGCAAATTGAATGGTACCACTCGGCATGCTGCTGAATGCCTCTATTTTGCATAGGTAGTGAGGCATGGAGGGATCATTTAGTCTTGTAGAACAGTTACATTGGGCTTCGTGGAAATAAATTTATTAGGACAGAGAAAAAGGATCAAAAATTTTGACGGGACAAAAAAAATCGAAAAAAATATTCATTCGAAATTATAAATGTTTCAAAAAAGCAAAATTTTATGTTTGGAATGTAATGTCACTGGATTTTTTGGGAAAACCCCAATTACTTCCCGTATTATTTTTCTCTGAAAATGACATACATTTTTCTTCACAATGCAAGAAAGGATAGCTGAGCTGTTAAATCAATATTTGAATTTACGAGGGATTGAAGTGTTTCAGATAGACACGTTTATGAGCTGGGTATTGAAGATGTACTGTCGTATCCTGGAACATCGATGCTTTACGGTATTTTTGGCCGTGGCACTGGTTGCTTACTGGTATTTTGCGATCATTGGAGCACTGAACATTAAAACAAGATTGGATACCGCTAAAATTTTGCCAAAAGATTCTCCAATTCAAGCTCCAAATCGCATTCTAAGTGATATCAGTTAGTTTTCCCTCCAGGATTTATTTCCGCCTAAAATTTACCTTGCTTCCAATGCATTCAAAGAAGCACGAATTTTCTGAGTGAGACTGTATAATTTTATTTCCAGTATGGGTGGAATATCATCCGGCAACAATACTTGTAAACAAACCCTTGGATATTAGAAAGCGTAGACCGATGGAACGATTTTGGCAACTTGTCGACGATTTTGAAAGTTTACCACAATGCCGAGGTGATTTATAACAAACAAACTCATCTAAGCTATCCTTTTTCTAAGATCAAAATCGAATTTTGCCCGTGTATTTATTTGGTAACGCAAAGTGTGTATAGTTCATAGCCTGTGTGTATATGTTTTCGGGTTTCTGTCCGATTTTTCAACTGAGCAACCAGAGAAGCTAAAATCCTAAAAGAATTTTTCTCGACAATACTTGGACCACCAATTTTAAGTCATTTTTCACGTACACCTACGTCTCTTACGTACAGATGTATGAATGTTCTGGCATGGACTGAAATTTTAGGAGGATATTTCCTGTTATTGTGCTGTCTTAAAATTCAGCATCTATATGAGGACATGCGAATGTTTTGACATAAAATTTTCTAGCTAGTTAGATAAAGTTGAAATATTAGGACGATGTTTCCAATTGTTAGGCGAGCCTAGGAATTTGAATTTGGCTTTCCTATGCGCCTAAAATCTCACTTGCGAGCATAAGAAAGAATAGAGGGAGAAATTTTCTGACTCGTAAACAACTATGATGAAAGCTGAAATTTTAGGGCAATGTTCACGTTGTTTAAAAAAAAACCAGTGCACGTTCGTAGGACAGAACCACACAAAATGCATGACTGCAGTGGTTAGCGGGTGCGTGCTGTTATCTAAATTCCATTTTATTCCAGGCAGTATTTCGACGCTGCTTTGGCTGCGCGATTACGTCAAATATTATGAAAATCCAACATCACTGTGGTCTTTCTTCGGCCTGGACGATAACAATAGAAACAGGAAAGCAAAGAACACGGAAACAGGTCTCGACTTCGATAAACTGGAAGAATTCCTCGAATCACCGTTCTACAAGCACTGGAACACTTTCGTCAAGGTGGCTCGAACAAAGTGAGTTTAATTTCCTGTAACTTTCAAAAAATCCACTAATATTTCGATCACAGCAGCAGCAGGAGGGGAATTTATTGATCAGAAATATTGCAGGGAAGGCATTCGTGTAAGCCGATTTTGGTTTACAGTGGCGTACTCAAATACATCGACCTGGGAAGTACGAATTGATCTGATGCAAAAATGGAGGAAAATTGCTGAGAAATACGAGGTCACTTATTAATATGCATGTTGCTACGGCAGGACCAAATTCAGCGGGGAGAGGGGGGAGGGGGAAGGGAGGAGAAGGGGGAAGGTGAAGCAAGGCATTTTCGATAAAAGCAAAGGTGAAGTAAGGCATTTCGATCCAAAAAGTTATTTTGGTTCTCAAAAAATGTGATTTGGCCACAGATTCCGAGAGCATCGAAGGAGCGGTATCCTTGTAAGGTATGGATCCTAACAAATTCTAACTGGCTAAGAAAAGTCAAGTTGCACTTTGTTTACTGGGTTTATTCATAAATAAAAATTACATACTTAGATAAAATATTACCAACTTGAAAAACAGCCGAAATTCGGAAAGCTGTGCACTCAGAAAATAATAACTTTTCTGGTAGGATTTAAGTTTTACTGATTACAAATGCAGTGTTCAGTTGATTATAAATGCAGTGTCCATTTGTCATTAATAATTATCATTATAAAGGATCTGAATGTGACGGTTTGGGAAGCTAATGGAATGTTCGTGGATCAGATGCTCAGTCTGAAAACAGTTGCTATACAAGTGAGTCGTTCACTAGTTTAAATTTATGAGAAATGTTCTGGCAAATAATGAAACGGCTCAAGAGCTTTGAAGCTCAGAACATCTCCTTTGAATTCAATTACGAGAAAATTTCCAGTGAACTGTGTTGACTTTAACGCTCTAAAAATCGTCATGGAAGTACTGTATTCTCTACTGTGGGAAGAGCTGGTATAATAATCGGTAAGGTACCATTGTTGTCTGCGAACGGCTTCGTTCGGGACGAGGTGGTGATGCTTAACAAACGCCAATGACATCTCGAAACGGCTAAGGTCTTGCCATGAGAATCGGCTGTAGTACTTTCAGGAGACTAAGCATGTGCCAGTAAGCTGACCATCAGGGCGGTTACTAAAACACGACTCTACGAGCACTGTATACCCATTTTTTAGCTCGGGTTGGAACTGCAAAAATCGTAGTACCGGGTTTCTCGTCTAGGTGTGGTTCCTGGTGTCACGTTCAAGATTGCTAGCTTCCTCCAGCATCAATTTTCATGCCCAGCATATAAAACCCACATAGTCCATCTCTCCCATAATCCCTGCTCCTGTTTGCAACTTCCATCTCCAAACAAGATCCAAGACAAGCAAGGTTGCTTTTTACTAAATACGTGAATTAAGCAGTGGGCGCAAAATTTCAGACCGGAGCACTGACGTTGATTTGTATGGCAGTTGTGTGTGCAGTATTCATACCAAATCCGTGTAGCGTTATTACTGCCTCCATCGCTATTGCCTCTATAAGTCTTGGTACGTTTATGAACAGAAAACTTTTTTTTCGCTAATTTTTGCGAGCGGCTACTTAGTATTTTTGAAAACTTTAAGCTACTGAGGTACTGTTCAGTTAGTTAATAACTGTTTGGTGGGTGCACTGATCCCTCAAAGTGCATTGTCTCGCCGCATCTTTATCTCGTTCTCCATCTCCAGGAGTGTTCGGTTTTTTGTCCTGGTGGCATTTCGATCTCGATCCAGTCACTACGGCTGCAGTTTTGATGTCAATTGGCTTATCAGTTGATTTCACAGCTCATGTTTCTTATCATTATCAGGCAAGTAAAAAGCGCAGCAGTTGCGCCTTCATTTTTTTTTTTTGACATAGATGCTTAACTCCAGAATCGAATTGCCTAGAATGGCTGCATTTGACATTCCAGTAAAATGGATTATACCCACATCAGTTGCTTAGATGGTCTTGGTATTCCTGGTTTCGGTACTTCTTAGCAACGGCTTTTCTGATTAGCTCGATTAGGATTGGAAGATGTGAGGCAAGCGAAGAGGAAGAGGGCAAACAGGAACACAGTTACGCCTGGCAAGTGGGTTTCTCTAGTGGAAATCAAAAACTCTGAACTCTCGTCACATGGACTTTCAGAATTTGCCGAACTCGCGGAGTTTCACACGCCAAAGGAGTTTGGAGATAAGCGCTGTATACGTGATATTAAGTTTAGATTTGGAAACAGAATATTTTGAGTGGTCAGCGGAGGCGACAGTGCTCAGCAGTATTCTTTTAAGTCTTTTTCCATGCTGTCAGACTGTTGGCCATTTGTAGCTGACCAACCGACGGGTAATTCGCAACAAGCAAATTGTTAAAATTCCTATCAAAGGCCCACGAGAGAAGTTGGAACACACCCTACGAAGTGTTGGATGGCCAATGATACAAGCAGCCGCCTCCACGGTGATGTGCGTATTACCTCTTGTCTTCTTGCAGGTTAGTTAAAATTTTTGACTTTTTGATGCATTTTACGTTGCAAATTTTAGCTTTCTAGCTTTCCCGGTCCGAAAAGAGTACAAAACGCGCACTGGCAAGATCCCGTCTGTGATGGTTGTTCAGGCGTTTCCCCGGTTTTTTTCGACTCAATGAAGAGAAAAGCTAGGAAGCTGAAATTTTTGTTTTTCTAAACCCTGCACATTTCCTGCTTGTGTGCAATTCTGAAAACTTAAACACGGCTCTCACATACATCTAAGTCTGGCGTACGAACTTATGAAAACTTTGGTAAAAAAAGAGAGGATGGGAATTTTAGGAGGATGTTCCCTGGCCCTACGTTTTAAATACAAGTGTGTGAAAATTCAGGTCAGAACTTGTTGGCGTTTTTCTAGCTCCGCTGGGCAGAGGTGTGCAAAACGCATGTTCACAGCTATAGGGTTCGTACCGTTACATATTCAGCTTAATTCACGTAGCAACCCAGTCTGTGACTCATCTTGGCTACTTATATCCAAAATATTTTGCAGAGTTACTCGCCGATGGTATTTTTCAAAACGATCATCCTGGTAGTCTGCTGGGGCTTGCTGCATGGACTCATCGTACTTCCGGCGCTTCTCGGTGCGCTGCCGGACTGCCTCACGAATGCCAATTGTTATCGCATCTTCTTATCGACAAGTAGCCAGAAGTCGTGCCGTTATGTGGCGCCGCAGGAAATGGAACCGGTAGATGGCCAAGAGATGGAAACCAACGAATAGTTCAGCGAATCCTCCTATTTTATTCTGCGTAGTATTCCTATTAAGTGTTTTTGCATCACTGATGAACTGAAGAAATGCATATTGTATCATGTATCATTACATCTCCGCTTCTACTACTCAGGTAATGAGTGTCGCTGAGTTCTTCGAAGTGATCATTCACAGCAGAATACCATTACCATCATCGTTTAGTCATCACTTCTCTGTTTTTCGGATAAAAACAGAGAGAGATGGGCACGTACTAATGGAAATAATAATGAAAAGTTAAGAAAGTTCTTGTCTGAAAATTAAAAATGGGGTTATGCAGG